TTGTTGGCTCATGTTTAACTTGTTGTCCACGAGGACTCCAAGATCTTTTTCACACGTACTGCTCTCGAGCCAGGCATTGTCCCCCATTCTGTATCTTTACATTTCGTTTTTTCTTTCTAAGTGGAGTATCTTGCTATCTCCTATGATGCTGCTTAGAGTTGCATTGGCTTTTTTAGCTTCCGCATCATGCTGTTGACTCACATTTCACTTGCTGCCCACTAAACCTCCTATAGATCCTTTTCACATGGACTGTTTTCAAGCCAGGTGTCACCCATCCTTTACCTGAGCGTTTCATTTTTATTGCCTTAGGTGTAGTACTGTACATACCTCCTTGTTGAAATTTATTTTCTTAGTTTTGATCCAGTCCTCTAATCTGCTAAAGATTCAAGTAGCCTGAAGAGAAGCTACATCGGTGTCATTCATCTGTTTACAATCGTTCTTATTTGGTTCTTATTTGTTTTTAAAGGTCTAATTTATGTATTTTATAACTCAATTTTAAAATGTTGTTTTATTTGTTCATTGTTGAAGGCATAAAATATCTGCCTGGTTGTGAAGCCGCCTTGAGTCACCTCTGGGCTAGAGAACGGCGGAGTAGAAATGTTGTAAATACATAAATAAATGGCCCATCCAAAGGGATTCTTAAAAAGTGTCCAGTTTGCCAAACTTTTTGTTATGGGTCAAGAACTGAAAACGTGTTGTCGAAGGCTTTCATGACTCAAATCACTGGGTTGCTGTGAGTTTTCTGGGCTGTATGGCCATGTTCCAGAAGCATTCTCTCCTGATGTTTCACCCACATCTATGACAGGCATCCTCAGAGGATGTCTGCCATAGAAGTGGGTGAAACATCAGGAAAGAATGCTTCTGGAACATGGCCATACAGCCCAGAAAACTCACCACAACCCAAGAACTGAAAAGTTTCACTGCATCCTCCTCCTCCAGTTGGTGCAAACTCCAATTTGTTTCCAGCTGTTCTCCCTGGCAAAAGCAGCAGCAACCTAAAAAAAAACTTTCTGGCCATCCTTTGCTTTGCTACAGCTGAATGCATCCTTAGGGAATGCTAAGGAAGAGGAGAAAGGAGCTCCAGTCAGAGAAGGGAAGCCAAGCTGGAAAGGAGAAAAAATTAAGATTAAGAATGACAGGGAGCGGGGAGATGATCTGAGCCCTAAGTTCAGCTGCAGGGAAGTCCAACCAATTCTTCTGCTTCGGTTTTGCTGATCACAAAAAAATAAATTTAAAGATTGTCCTGCAAAAGTCACCGCACTAGAAGACCCTTGGATGTGTTCTGTGCCAATCAGCCAGTGGGTCCAACAAAAGCTCCTTGGACAGCATTTCTCACCCAGGGGGTCGAGACCTATAGGGTGGGGGGTGCTGAGAAGGTTGTCAAAGGGGTCACCAAAGACCATCAGATAACACAGTATTTTCTATTGGTCATGGGGGTTCTGTGTGGGAAATTTGGGACAATTCTATCATTGTTGGGGTTCAAAATGCTCTTTGATTGTAGGTGAACTATAAATCCCAGCAACTACAACTCCCAAATGTCAAGTCTATTTTCTCAGACTCCACCAGTATTCACATTTGGGTATATTTGTGCCAAGTTTGGTTCAGATCCATCATTGTTTGAGTCCACAGTGCTCTCTGGATGTAGGTGAACTACAACTCCAAAACTCAAGGTCAATGCCCACCAAACCCTCCCAGTATTTTCTATTGGTCATGGGAGTTCTGTGTGCCAAGTTTGGTTCAATTCCATCATTGGTGGAGTTCAAAGTGCTCTTTGATTGTAGGTGAACCATAAATCCCAGCAACTGCAACTCCAAAATGACAAAATCAATCTATGCCAACACCACCAGTATTCAAATTTGGGCATACAGGGTATATCCTGCACATCAGATATTTACATTACAATTCATAACAGTAGCAAAATTACAGTTATGAATTAGCAATGAAAATAATTTTATGGTTGGGGGGTCAACACAACATGAGGAACTGTATTAAGGGGTTGCAGCATTAGGAAGGTTAAGAAACACTGTGTTTGGACCTGGCAGGCATCAAAACAAAATTTTGCATTTCTGCCTCAAATGCCTTGTAGGTGCCCAAGAAGGCCCCAAAACATTATGAGAATATCCCAGTATCTTCTAGAGTAGTGGTTCTCAACCTGTGGGTCTCCAGGTGTTTTGGCCTATCCCTCCAGAAATCCCAGCTGTTTACCAGCTGTTAGGATTTCTGGAGGTGAAGCCCAAAACTTCTGGGGACCCAGCAGGCTGAGAACCAGTGGTCTAGGGGATGCTTGGACTTCAGAATGATTCCACTGAAATGTTAGTAATACCTAATATTAGGGAGCCCCTGGTGGTGCAGTGGGTTAAACCCCTGTGCCGGCAGGATTGAAAACTGACAGGTCGTAGGTTCAAATCCGAGGAGAGGTGGATGAGCTCCCTCTATCAAATCCAGCTCCTCATGTGGGGACATGAGAGAAGCCTCCCACAAGGATGATAAAAACATCAAATCATCCAGGCATCCCCTGGGCAACGTCCTTGCAGACGGCCAATTCTCTCACACCAGAAGTGACTTGCAGTTTCTCAAGTTGCTCCTGACATGACAAAAAAAAGGGTAAAAACAATGGTACATGCAGCTTGGGAGTGTGATGGAGTCTCCTTCTTGGGAGGCTTTTAAACAGAAGCTGGATGGCCATCTGTCAGGAGTGCTTTGATGGTGGCTCCCTGCATGGTTGAATTGGGTCAGACTGGATAACCCTTTGAGTCTCTTCCAATTCAATGAGAGAAACATGAGTAATGGATTAAATTCCTAACAGTGCATTCAGCCTATCTGTTTTTGAGCAGAACGTTGCACTAGATGGCCTCTGGAAGTCCCCTTTCATCCCTTGGATGCTCCAGCATGTACTGTTAAACAGGAAAGGCATAACTGAAGGGTCAGTAGTTGCATTCAGGCGATCCTTTTAGATCCTGCCAAGGAGTTAAGTGCCTGGCTTCCGTTCCTTTCCTTCTTCTCCAGTCTCAGAATACCAAAGAGCCAGGAGAAGTTAGCAAGGCAGGTGCTGTGTGTTTTTGTGTGTGTGGGCATGTGCGCATAGAGTGCTTTGGGGTGGAGGAGACTAATAGGAAGCTTAAAGTAGCGGGGAGACATCCTTGTATGGAAGGAAAGCTGGTAAGTTGAATGACTTTGGAAGTGCAGCCTGTGCATCCCAGTTCAAGAGTCAGGGTGGCTTACAGCAGTCAAAACCCAAAATTCACAGCACACACAACTAAAAACAATAATCGAAATGTGAAAAAGAACCCAATAATAAAACCAGTTGAAAGCATAAAAACAGTATTTAAAAATTAAAAACATCCCAGGATAATTGAAATAAGCAAAACACATGAAGTAAGATGACCAGGAAGAATTAATGCAGGTTGGCACTTCTGTATCTGCCATGGCTCAATGCTATGAAATGATGGGAGTTGTAGCTTTGTAAGGTCTTCAGCCTTCTCTGCCACAGAGTGCTCATGCTGTTGCCAAAATACAAATCACGTGATTCCATAACATTGAACAATGGCAGTTAAAGTGGTGTCAAGCTGCACTCATTCTGCAGTGTAGATGCACCCCAGGTTAAATCAGAAAACAAGGCATAAATGATTCTAACCCTCTTATGTGCACACGGTGGCACAATGGACCAACAGGAGAGCACAGATGAGCTCCCTCTGTCAGCTCCAGCTCCCCATACGGGGACATGGCGGACTGAAGACCAAACAGAGAGCACGGATGAGCTCCTGTCAGCTCCAGCTCCCCATATGGGGACATGAGAGAAGCCTCCCACAAGGATGATAAAACATGTTTTAAAAAACCATCTGGGCATCCCCTGGGCAACATCCTTGCAGACGGCTAATTCTCTCACACCAGAAGAGACTTGCAGTTTCTCAAGTCGTTCCAGACATGAAAAAAAAAGTACACACTTTACAAATTAATAAGATTAGGCCTCAGGGGCTTTAATGAAAAGCCAAGTTGTAATTTGGTATCTAAAGAAGATCAACAAAGTAGGCCTTTGCTCGGTGTTTGCTAGGTTCTCCCAGAAATTCTATGCTATGCTTCCACAAGAAGTTATTGTAGAGTCTTATTGGAGGACCTATAAAATTTCTAGAAAGGATATCTCTTTAGGATTTTCTCGGTCTTCTGTGGTTACATCCAGTGAAGGCCATTCATTTCAGTAAGATTCGCTATTGTCCATGGTTTCCTGTTTCTACAGTAAATTCAAGAACATATCCTTCATGATACTATATAATGAGAAGCACTCCTGCAAGTAATAGGGTTCCAGGTCATTTAAGACATTGAATATCATTATCTCACCTTGAATTCAGATAGTGCGGCCCCTTTATGGCTGATGTTATATGTTGACTATAAAATAGTATTGGAAATCCTATAAAGCAGTCAGTTTGAACTGAATTATTATTATTATTATTATTATTATTATTATTATTATTATTATCTTTATTTGTACCCCAATAGCATCTCCCGAAGGACTCGATGCGGCTTACAAAGGCCAAGGCCTCAATAAAACAACAATACAACAATACACATGTACCACAACTCTAAATAGCAGACGTTGTGCATGTCATAGGGAGCAGGACATCCCTCAAACCCTTTTCTCTCGTCCTCCCCAGATCCTAAATGTGAATGTGAACAGAGAGCCTGGTGGCTCCCATATCACTGGGGTAGTCAATCTACTCCATTTTTGAGCTCATACCTTGAAGGAACTATCCATGGTGCTGAATCTGTCTTGGTGATAGGGAATAACACCATAGTTAGCTCCCTGAAGGCAGACTCCATCCAGAAGAAGTTATTCCTGCTCACCTTTGAATTTCCCTATGTCACTGGGACTTGGACCACTATTTGCACTATCCTGCAAGAGAAATATCCATATTATCAATGGATGATATTCCTTCTCAGATGGCCCATCCTCTCCTTCTTTGCCAGGCAGTGCCCTTGACCTGTCTTTGTTGCCTCCTTGCCAGATGTATGGTCGCTACACTCAGGACTTAGGAGCCTTCGCCAAGGATGAAGCGGCACGCATCCGGCTGCAGCAGGAACGCTGGAAACCATCTAAGAAAGAGCGACTGAGGCCCTCGGAGCTTTTGGAGTACGACCAGAGCCGCTGCACACGCTGCCGAAGTAAGGAGTTTGCCATATATTGCAGGGGGAGAGGAAGATATATGTGTGCTGGTCATTATCCAGATTGAATATCCCTTATCTGAAGTGCTTGGATTTTGGAAAACCTGTATATACATAAACAGGCAGTCCTCCAAGACAGGTTCTAAAGTTGAATTTGTATGTAAGTCAGAACAGGTGTGTGTGTGTGTGTATACACACACACACACACCACACACACATCACACATCACACATACACACACACCCTTTGGATAGCATAGGGAAGGGTTGACACCCCTGTGGTGATCGTTTTGCTATCTGTGCCCCTCTTTCAGACGATTTCACTTCACTTTCTGTCCCTTTGAGAATTGGATTTTGAAACATTTGGCTTGTTGTGGAAACAAGGCTTGGCAATAAAGCTTTGTTGCTTATGTTTTGGTTTTATTTTGCTTTAATATGTTGTCTGGGCTTGACCTCATGTAAGCCACCCCGAGTCCCCGTTGGGGAGATGATGGTGGGGTATAAATAAAGATTATTATTATTATTATTATTATTATTATTATTATTATTATTATTATTATTCTTCAGTGGAAACACCTTTTCCCCGTGATAATAACTTTTTCAAAAGTAAATTTCCCTCTGAGATTTCTCTCACTTCCTGTTGTCTCATCCCTGTTCTAAACTATGAGTTGTTTGTAAGTCGGATGTTTGTAACTCGGGGACACATAATGAGACATCTTGGAGATGGGACCCGTGTCTAAACACAAAATTTGTGTGTGTTTCATATATACTTTGTACACATAGCCACATAAAATATTTTAAAATAGTTGTGTGGATGTTGCAAAGTTTTTGTGCCTTGCAAGCACCCAGATGAACACTTGGAGTTTTGGGGTGTTTTAAATTTGGGAATTCTGAATCAAAGATGCTCAATTTGTAATATTATATCTTTTTTAAAAATCTGTGATTATTAAGTGTTGGCTAGCTTTTTTGAAGAAGACAGGTGGCCAAATCCATGCTCAGCCTATCATGATGAAAGCCGGGCATGTATGCATCTGTGTATGTACAAACTGCATGTGGGTATGTATCATACATAAGTGTAAAAAGGGGAAAAGTTACAGAAGTTAGCAGCACCATTATATAATGAGACTTCAGCATTTAAGGGTTTTTTTTTGTCATCTAAAACCAAGGAGTCACTAGATATAAAATGAGAGAAATTAAATCTGTTTTTCATATACACACAAAATATGTAAGATTGCTCCATCATATATATATGGATGTGCGAGTCTATATTTCTATATCTATTTATATCTAGGGCTCCCTAGTAGCATAGCAGGTTAAACTGCTGAGCTGCTGAACTTGCTGACCAAAAAGTCGGTGGTTTGAATACAGGGAGTGGGGTGAGCTCCCACTGTTAGCCCCAGTTTCAGCCAATCTAGCAGTTTGAAAACATTAAAATGTGAGTAGACCAATAGGTACCACTTCTGCTGGAAGGTAACAGCGCTCCAAGCAGTCATGCTGGCCACATGACCTTGGAGGTGTCTACAGATAACACCAGCTCTTTGGATTAGAAATGGAGATGAGCATCACTCCCCCCAGAGTCAGACATAACTAGACTTAATGTCAAGGGGAAACCTTTACCTTTATATTTATATCTAAATATTAAACACAAGAAATGTATAACAATTTGTGATATACATAAATACTTTACAGCTATCATAACCATTTACAAGGCTCTCTGTGGGATTCCAAAGGTTGTAGTCTAAACAATAAGTATATCCAGGATCCAACCCAAATTGAGACAAGAATTTTCCACATACACAGAACTCAAGCAACACAACTCATATTGCTGACTCCACATCTGGAGTTGTCTGGGGGAAAAGAAATGCCTGTTTGCCCCAGGCCATTCCCCAAGGCACTTGTGTACCAGAGGGCCGAGCAAAACATAAGCAAAATAACGTCTTAGCCTTTTGGACTGATTCTTGATCCATGATAAGTCTTACATGGGGAAACATCCAGCTGGTAGAAGCTTTCAACAGTAGAATGGAATGGCATTCTACTGGTTGAACTCTTTTTTACCGAGGTTTGTAAACAAAACCTGGATGCATTAGTTGTGCCTTTCCTACTCTGGTAGTAGGTTGGATTGGACAATCCTTTGGGATGCCTTTCAGTTCTATAATTCTATGATTCTTTGCACATTTGTTTTTCCTTGCACCTCTCTTTTCAAGACTCCTTCTTCTTGCCTCCCTTGGGTTCTATCTTCCTCTTCTTCCATCTCCCTTTTGAAGAAAGGGCCTCCAGCAACTTCTAACAATAGGCAAAGTATTTGTGCCCTTTGCTTGACCAGCACAAGTTCTCTGTCTAAATCCTAGGCATAAATAAAACAAGCAAAGCCTTTGAGCCAGCAGGATATACGATTTCATGCTCCTCTTTATTGGGTGCAAGGATGAACACAAGGTTGGAAACATTTTATCCCAGTGTCTCCAGAGTTGAATGATTTGCCCCCAAAATCATTAGAATTCACAAACATTCTGTGATTTTAAGAAGAGCCAATTTTGAAGACAGGATACTTTTAAAAATGACTACATTGGGACTATTTTACTTTGAACATATCATTTTTTTTGTCGTGTCAGGAGCGACTTGAGAGACTTCAAGTCGCTTCTGGTGTGAGAGAATTGGCCGTCTGCAAGGACGTTGCCCAGGGGACGCCCAGATGATTTGATGTTTTTATCATCCTTCTGGGAGGCTTCTCTCATGTCCCCGCATGAGGAGCTGGAGCTGATAGAGGGAGCTCATCCACCTCTCCCCAGATTTGAACCTGCGACCTGTCGGTCTTCAGTCCTGCCGGCACAGGGTTTAACCCACTGCGCCACCGGGGGCTCCTGGACATATCATGAGATGAGATGACTCATTGGAAAAGATGATCATATTCAGTAGAATGGAAGGCAAGGCAGTTAGGAGGAAAGGAAAACCACGTTGCAAGTGGATGGATTTCAGTAAAAGAAGCCACAGTCCCGAGTTTGCAAGACCTGAGCACTGTTATTCATGCCCAAGAGGTCTCTTGCACATCGTGTTGCCATAAGCCAAAGCTAACCTGGCAGCAAATAGCATCAACAAACTCTAAAGAAACAGACTTCGCAGATTATTTTCCACCTGCTGGGAACTGATTGATTTGATTTAGCTAGATTCATGTCTCATCCTTCTGCATAACAGCTCAAGGTAGATGAATGAGGGGGTTGCAAAATCAATACTTCCGTGTACACAAACTGCCGGCTTCCATCTACAGAAATCTAACAAGGGAATTGAGAACTCAAATGAATAATAATAATAATAACAACAACAACAACAACAGGTGCCGCCTTGTTAGCGGAGGGGCTTAACAGCTGAGAATTGTGTTGGCAGTAGTGCAAACTACCAGTAGGTACAACCAAGCCAGTAGGTGCATCCAACCCATTTAAATATAGTGAAACAAACTCTAAAGAACTCTATACTGGCTCTGTCAGGATAATAAGGACCGCGACAAGTGCTTCTCCTGGGCACCCATCAACAAGTGGGCTACAGGAACCAAGACCTGATGCTGAGTGACCATGGCATGGGCCTATAGGGCAACTGGAAGTAAAACAACTACAATAGAGACAGAAATTTTCAGTGTCACAGAATGGACCTGTCATGAACTGCTATTATAAATCGGAACCCCAAAGATGTGGTTGCCAAAAATGAATGTACCATCTATGGAAACTTGAATATCCAGATTCAATTGTAACTGAACAGAGGCTTGCTGATCAGAGAAGATACATCATTAGGAACTGGTGGGTTCACAAGCCTCAAAAGGTTACAGAGAACGAACACATCAAACTACTTTGGGACTTCCAAATTCAGACTGATAGAATTTTGGAGCACAATACTCCTGACCTCACAATCGTGTTAAAAAAACAAAGTATGGATCATTGATGTTGCAATCCCAGACGACACCAGAATTGACAAGAAGCAACTGGAAAAGCTGACACAATACAAGGATTTAAAGATCTAATTGCAAAGACTCTGACACAAGCCAGTAAAGGTGGTCCCAGTGGTGATTGGCACACTGGGTGCAGTGCCTAAAGATCTTGGCTTGCACTTAAAAACAATGGGTGCTAACAAAATCACCATCTGTCAGCTGCAAAAGGCCACCCTACTAAGATCTGCGCACATTATTTCCCGATACATTGCATAGTCCTAAACACTTGGGAAATGTCTGTGTGATCCAACACAACAGCCAGCACAGTGACCTTGTTTGCTGTGTAATTATTGTTGTTGTTATTATTGTTGTTGTTGTTATTATTAGATACACAAAAAGATATTAGATACACAAAAATATCTTTTTGTGTATCTAATAATAACAACAACAATAACAACAACAATAATAATAATTACATGCCTTTAATTTAAAAAACGATCCTGTGAATTGCTGCATAGATGTGCATAATATACATGGACTGTCCAAGAATTTGTGGACAAAAGGAACAGCTTGATGAGGCTGTGTGTATCTTTAAGAGACACATGTGTTATAGGAAAAAAAGAAGAAGCAAGCACAGGGCTGCTGTTTTGGTGTTTGGACTAGGCTGATATAACCCAGTCCAGAGCATGGGAATGTTGCCTTTGATAGACTACAGCTCCCAGAATCCCACAACCAACATGGTCACTGTCTGGGTTCATTGGAGGATTCTGGGAGTTATAGCATAAAAATTCTGCCACAAAGCCAGAAGCCTAAGCTTCTATGTCCTGGTTCTGTCCCATTGCATGCCAGAACCATGCACATGCTAGGCACATTTTAGGAGGTAGCATCAGATTTCCACCTCTGCCCTAGGTTGATAAAGTGGTCTCAGACTGCATTAATTCTGCAGTGTAGTAGAGGCATCCCCTGAAAGCATTTCTACCTTTTTTTGGTCTATACTTGTTCATCCATTCATGGCAAACTGGTCCTATAGTCTGTCAGCACATTAGAAAGAGCATAGTCTAGCAAGGACAATATCATAGTGTGCTTTT